TATATATATATAAAATTACGTATAAATTATAAAAGCTCTAAAATCCTCTTACAATCTGAAGATTTTTCAATTGGCCGATTTCAGGTGGCAGATACTCGAAATCATTGTCGGCGAGATAGAGTGCTCTTAAGGTCTCTAAAAAACGGACAGATTAATGCGACTTTTGTGAAGAAGCGCGTTAGGTGATCTAACCACGACTGACCCATCATGAAGAAATTTCCAGGAAGGTTCTTTTCGCTGAGATTGTTGTACGTCAAGTCTAATACCTCGAGGACTGGAAACGCGCCAAAGCCGCGAGGAAGCACGTCTAACCGGTTCATTCTGCCAGAAGTTAAACACTCTGATAAATTATCATATAGAAATAAGGACATATTCTATAAAATATATATAGATACTGACCCTACATTTAGGATCCTCAACTTCGGCATTTGTGATAGAGATATAGGCAGCTCGGTGATGTGATTGTTAAAGAGATTCAATATCTCCAGGTTGACTAGATTGGCGAGACCTGGTGGCACCGCTGTACCGAAAACATTATTATATATTGATTGAATTATCAGGCAATATAAATTGTGTTAAACTTGAAGACACTCTCACCTTGAATTTTATTGTGACTTAGCGTCAGCCTCGTTACATTAATCATATTCACTGAAACATGCAAAGGCTTTTGTAAACTCATCTTCAGTTTGTAATATATTTCGAGAATTTATCTCAATGATGATTTGATTCACAATTAATTATAGGTTTGTTTTTTAACTAAACTAGTGTACATTTCTCGAATTTAAACTAAAATAGGTATCTATATGTTAATATTATCTGATTTTGAGGGTTTTTTCTCAAAAACTGCATGATTTATTTAAATAAGATAATTAACGAATACCTTAATCAAAATATTTTCATCATTGCGAAACCCTCAAAACTAAATCACACATACATAATATATCTATTTTGCTTAAGAAATAGATCAAAAAACTGCACTCATTAGCTACAGTTAACTTTTAAATCTGTACCAAATAGTTTTTTTTAGAGACACTGTAATTACAAATCCAAAATAAATATTATGAATACAGATATCAAATTAGATGAATATTTAACAAATATATATATATAAAAACAACCATTTAACAATTATATTGAATTTTGTAACTTCATCCTTGAGTTTGTAATAAAAAAACATATAAACATATTGTTTTGTATAAAGAAGAAAAACGGTCTAAATCGAGCGATGATAAGATAATTTTATATAATAAATTTCTAGTTTACAATGTTAATACAACATAAAAATATAAAATATATTAAAAAATATAAAAATAATATCGAACGCTTCGGAACTCACACACACACACACGAGTTCTTTTTCAGCGATTCTTATAGATGTTACAAGTCATAGAGATGAAAGCATAATCTTACGGTCTAAGCGACATGGTGTGGTACAATTTGTTTGAAGCAGAGTTTCTCCAGACTCTCCGTCATCTCTGACCATAGATTAAATTATGATCACAATTTTGATGAATATTTACCTTTAATTTGTTTTTTTGTTGAGCTCTATACGATTTTTTTTCACCGAGTTATTCAACATTGAAGCAAAAGTGATTTTTTGTTTTAATATTGATTAATTCGATAAAAAAAATCGTATAAAGCTCAATAAAAAAGAAAATTAAAGGTAAAGGTTCACGGTTTCGAATGCTGTAAACCGAATTTTTATGCGATTTTTAATTTACGTCATGGAACTTCTCAAAGTTAGTAAAAATTTTTGAGATTAAGGGGATGCTGGAGTACCGACGGAACACTCATTTCATATTTCTCATGCCATTTCGTTTTCCTTATACAGAATAAAAATTCCTTCTCCAGAATAAAAGAAAAAACACAAATAAATGCGGAAAAGTATAAACCGGTATGAGAATCCCCCAAAAATTGTAAATTACAGTTTTCTGTTATCATGTAGGTTTTCTTTCTTCATATATACATACATTATATAAACGAATGCAAGCATATATCCAAATAAAAAATACTTTCCCGTTTGACTAATTTATAAGAGTATCATGATACCTTTAAATTATGATTTTAAAGTTACAAGAGAAATGCAGCACGAGAAATACGATTTGAGTGTACATAATCTTACATTCAAGCGATATATAGAATATAGCAGAACAAGAACTGTACGTAACGTTTTACTTAATGGCTTATTTAATGTACGTAATATTCTACTTAATGCATGTAAATATTTTCTTGATGTATGTAACATTTTAATTGGAATTGAAAATCTGTTTTGTCGTAAAAAATTATAATCAAATCGAAATATCAATTACCATTTTCGAAAGTAAAGATTTCAATTAGAACTTTTGAAAATTTTTGAACTTAAAAAATGAAATAAAAGCGAAGATGCTGAGTACAAAAAGTGTGCAAGTAACGGAAACTAGAAAATGGAAAAAGAATTTTCATTAAATGTGTTAACATTTCAGTAATTAAGCTAATTTCAGTACATCGAGCTTCAACATTTGCGTTCGCGGAATATTATCTTATTTTTAATTGTTCGTGATGCTATTCTACATCAAACGCGAAGTGTCAAATTTAAAAGGCAGAGAAGTAAGCGCGCGCGCGCACGTGAATCGCCCACGTGATCAGATTCCGCGCAGATGGCCGTGATGTGGATCACGGAGCGAGAGGCCAGCGACAAGTTGCCTAATTTGGCGATCTCGCAATGACGCGTGATGACGCGCGCGCGAGGACGCTTGGATGAGACTCACGCAATCCCGGCATCTCCTCGAACGTCGCGATGCCTTTGTCCGCGAGATCCAGCTCGGGATTCTGGATTTCCCGGGCTTCGTCCAGCACCTTCTTCGCCTTCGACATCTTCCCCGCAGGAATACACGATACTGGCGCGGTCTGATTCATTGCGCGCGCAAGAGCCGTGCCACGCACGGCACACAGAGTCAAGGAGCGTTGGAGTATCTGAGGAGTCGGCGTCACCCGTTATTATATAATAGTAGTGGTGTAACGAGTTTTATGTGTTTATATAGATACTATTCCGGAATGGTCTGTCCCGTTCCCGTCATTCTCAGCTCGTTAGATGGCGGTTCTTGTGTGTTTTTTAAATATTTTAGTAAGAAAAAAAACTTAAGTAACAAAATAAAATAAACGTTGAATTATTAAAAATTTTGGGCTAAAATTTGTATTTTCTTTTTTTCTTTGCTAACAAAATTTATCACTGATATATGCCCTATTTTTATACATTTATAAAAACAAAATTCATTATCTTATGCTACCTTATAATACACATACTTTATCCAAGAGACACTTGGAAATATCTTTAGGACATTCAGAAAGGATAGGAACGTTCACTGGATATCTTTAGAACATCTCCGAAGAGAAAGAGAGAGAGAGAGAGAGAGACATTTATCAACTGTATAATGAATATGAATTTAACTATGAAAATTTAGTTTTACTTTTAAGAAAATTTTGATTGAACTTTGAAGGAAAAGCGTCATCTTAACTAAAATAGAAATATGCTAGAATGTAATTAATATGCACATCTAATATTAACGAATTAGGGCCTATGCATTATATTTATTCCTGTTTCTGATATTTGTTCTAACAAGTATTATTACAATACCATAAATATATTAATATATATACAAATATATATAATATAAATATACAATAAAAAAATAATTTAAAAAAATTTGTATTGTATAATAAAAATATTTTTCCCTGTTTTCAATATTTGTTAGAACAAATATTAGAAACAGGAATAAATATTAAATAAGATTTTAATCTATCAGAAATTAGTTACACCGAAATATCGATTTCTAATATAGGTTGAAATTTTAATATTTATTTCTATTTTCCTAAAATATTTTCCCAATTGTGCACAGAAACATAGATTTGATTGCTATTAAAGTTGGAATCACATGCTCAATTTCTTGATAACGATAAGGCCGAAATCAGACTACGCATTAAAAATTGAGATTGAAGATTGAAATATTTGGCCAATCAAAATAATAGAAGCAAAAATTCCTTTATTCTCATTGGTCAAATTACAATTTTCAATCTTTAATCTCATATAATCTTCAATGCGTAGTTAGCGTAGTCTGATATTCCAGTTTCTATTGGTCTATTTTCTATTCCTGCACTAAAGTGCTATTTCATTTGTGCGTGTTTATCGTACGACAAAACAGGGTCGATTGTAGCTGTGTTCCAAAATTGACTGCCATTATTGAAAACCTATAGTTTATGTTACGAGCACTATAGGTTTTTAGTACTGGCAGTCAATTTTGGAACACACACCACAGTATAACCATACTGTGCAATCGACTCCGAGGGTATCGATTATGTAACTTTTTCTCTAGGGCGGAAACGTAAAAAGTAAAAATTTTTTGCATGTATGTGTGTATATGTTCATACATCATTCATAAAAATTTTCACTTTTCACGTTTCCGCTCTAGATAAAAAGTTACATGATTGATACCCAGGACAGAGGAGGAAGACAAATTGATCGGGCAGACGATTGACAGCATTTTTAGAATGGAAATAATTGTGCTAATTCGTAGTTTTTGACAGTATCTCACGGAGTATTAATACTCCGTGCAGTATCTTTAAATGTCAGACTGCATGCATCGAAGCAATAATACGTGCATACTTATCATTCAAGAATTGAGCATCATGTGATCTCATCTTAAGCGATGTTCATCTTTATCCATTTTTCGATTACTGTCAATCTACAAAATCTCGCTACAATTCTTTGAAGTATTTGATTAATCAATCAGAAGAAAGAATTTTACATATTGACCAATCAAAGAATGCTTTTCCAGTTTTACTAGCAATTTTATTTTATCGTAAAATCGTGGCAAACCTGCGTGCAACGTGTGTTGGGAGAGAAAAACGGGGAATTCCGCGAAAGAGAGCTCAGTTTTGTTTATGATTACCGGTCGTTTGTGACTTCGTCTCTTCAAAATAATATCGCTTTCTTGCATTTCGAACTCCAAATACGCGCAATCACGATGGAGGAGATTCGAGTCATGGTATGATATTATTTACACTGATATTTTCATGCTAGCGCGATTTCTTTTGCGAGAATCCTATTCTCACACTGTAATGTTTTCTTGAACACATTATCGAAATTTAGCTGATTACGATTACGGTTATGCAATCGAAATAAGTACATTAAAAGTGATTCAAATGTATTTATATGAAAATATAAGAGTAAATATTTAAAAGATAACATTCAGAAGTGTTGAAAATACAGATAATACAGATGATAAATATAAATGGCATATATTAGATTTGTATTACTATACAAGATATTGGCTACGTGTTCTGTAATTGTATAATTATTGTACTGAACGACTGATTCTGATTGCTTCAGTGGTGTGATATACTGGAGGAATTGCTCCAATGTCCCGTATGTTTAGAAGCAACACAAGGTATAAAAGACCAATGTGTAAACGGACATCACATATGTAATCCATGCAGGGTGCAGCTGCAGGTGTGTCCTATATGTAAATCTGCCTTTATAGGGACAAGAAATTTGGCGGTAGAACAAATTTCAGCTAAATTACAGGATATAAAGGTATGGTTTTTATTTCTGGTTATTTTATTTCTAGTTAACATAGCAGTAATAATAAGAAGGGACAAGAATAATGCAAGATTAATACAAGACAATCTTAACTCAGATATTTGTCTATTTAGATTATCACTTCCGTAAAATAATAGAAAGGTATATAATATATGTATATATATATATGTGACTAGGACAAAATAATTCTAAGTAAAAATATTGTTTCTTAGTTATCCCTGTTGCATCCATATCATGTTCTCAATAGAAGAATCCTACATAATAAGATTTGTGTGGCTACTCAAACTGATAATATTTGTATGCCTTCCACTGCTTCTCAAACTGAATCTACAAATCAACCAATTGTTCCAAAAAACGAACAACAAAGATCAATATTAAGTTTGGCGCCTAGAGTAGGAAAAGGTTCATATCCATGTCGTATTGGATCTTGTATCATGGAACTACCACATGGAAGAATGATTGGCCATTTGAGATATCACCATAAAGATGTATTTTTTGAGGTACAACACGTAATCAAGTTTATGAATTTGGATCTTTAGGAATTATAATCAAGCTCCTCTTGACATATTATAATTAAGCTTTTCAAAATTGCAATTTTGTTACGATTAATTGTTATTATAGTTCAACGCAAAAGATAATGTACTACAAAAAAAATGGGGTCTGGAGTATATCTTGAATCGAGATTACGATTTTGCATTTCATATCAAAGAAATGGGCTTATTTTTTTTAAACATCTCCATAAATCATATGGGTGATCTAATGGCTTCCTTACAAATTGTCAATTGCATCGCTGTATGTAAACAATTCACATATACATTTGAAGCAATTGGGGCATTAAATGCTTCTTACAATGGCCAGGTAAGATTATATTCATTGCTGTTTGCATAAGATATTGATTTGTTTTAAATATTTAATATTTTAAAATAAGATTATAATTTTATAAATAATCATAAGGCCTCGTTAACAGAATTTTTAAAGCAATATTTTATGTTTAACATCGAAGATAATAATAACGCGACATGTTAACACAACTCATATTTTCAAACAGGTGAAATCTTGCAGAGTATCAAGACAATGTCTTTCTAATGACTGTTTGTACATACGTGAGAATAACATGCGCCACTTAATTGATCATAAAAATTATTTTCACTGCAATCTAACGATAAAGCGTAGAGTTGATTACAGAACAATCACCGCACAAAATAATCCAATGAATAGTCGTGATAACATAATGAATAATTAAAAAAAAAAGCTATATAATTTTTATTATTGTATAAAGAAAAGGATAACAGTAAAATGATTATTTCGTCAATTTGTTTTTTTTTTAACATGTAATCTTTTTTTATATAAATAACTAGAGTTTATCTTTCGATTCAGCATGAAACAATTTTAATTATTCATTATGTTATCGATTCCTGTATTTTTATAAACTGTCGATGTAAGTAATTCAAGCAATTTAAATGTTCATCGAAAAAAAATAGTGTACTTTTAGATCATTTTAGATTTGCATCTCTCAGTACTGCCTAATTGATAAACTAAAGAGATTAAAAAGGGACTAATTTTATTGCGGATTGCAGATATAGATGCAATCATAGATATAAGATAAGTATAATTTTTCACCAAACGTTTTTAGTTTAATAATTTGTTATAATCGCAGTTAGGCAGTTCTGTTTGTAAAAAAAAAAAAATAGGAAGGGAAAAAAGTATTGCTTGTATTTTTGCCTGAAACACTTCCTATATATTCTTTCAGTAAATTAATGTCAGAAGTTTTGATGTAGAATGAGAATTTCAAGAACTTTATCGCGACGAAACGAAGGAAAACTTCGTGATGTATGAATTATGTAGTCACGACGTATGTGATATAACTTACATATAATATTACGGACAGAAAAGTTATTAATGTATGATACTTCTATATACGAAATAAAGTTATTACTTTAAAAACGAATTCAACCATAATTGTCGTCCATCCGTCTGATTTTCAAGTATACAATCTCTGCATTCGGGTTGTTGTAAAGTCGAAACACAGGATGACTCGCGCCGCTCGATCAGGTTTGATAAGTGAGACGTGTTTATTGTGTCTTCTAAATACGCCAAAGATACAAAGTCATGCGCGCGTCACTCGTAATTAGTGTCTACATTTTCCTTTATTTCCTGTACTAATTTAACGTTTTGCTAAGAGCTACCGCAACTGTCGCACCTCTAATACTTTTTTTCTTGTTTTTCTATTTATTCCCATACGAATTAAATTGCAGTTGTGAATCATCATTCGACAAACATTTGTCTCTCGCTTTGCTTTGCTCAATTTGCAAAAAATCTACTCCGAAAATGTATATACCGAGTATCTCATAGATCTCGTATGTGCAATTGAAAAATAACGAAGATTATATTACCCCTGTGCATATCATAATGCTCCGAGGAAGACGCTGTACCACAGTCATCCTCAGTTATCCGCTCTTTCCTTACATATCTTTTGAGAATTTCGCATATCTCTTGTCAAATGGTTAAGGTAATTATTCGTCGCCGCGCACGCTTGTGGTTACTTAAATCGGCATACGCTAAACGCGAAATTACACTCTGCTTGGCCTCCTCAGCGGATTCTCCGCGCATCCCTTCAAGTGGTACCTCCTTCGCGTAGCGACTTTTGTTGCTCTAAAAGCCGCTCTAACGGGGAAGGACCCGGACCGGACCACAGAGATTGCTGATGGAGCCGTGTTTTCATCTGATCTTGATTGGTCGAGCCCGAATTAATCGATGTATTTACGGTACTCCAAGTATTGCCACTGAACAAGGAGTAAGTGTTGCCGGTGCTCACTGCTTGGGACGGCTTCTGTTCGAGCTAGAACATTATTATTTAGTTATTCAAGGTATAAAATATTTATAAGATATATAAATCTCTTAATACGACATAAGAAAATCTCATTTTTATACTCAAAATTAACTTCGATGTTAAATAAATCTTATAATTGCATTAAATTAAAATTATTAAACAATTACTACATGAAAGGCTTTATTAATTATATCATGTATAATATATGTGATTTAAAAACTAATTTTTTTAGTTTTTAAATCACATATTTAAAAGTTTAAAAATCTTCTAATATTATAGAAATATTTCTTTCTTATTTGTCTCAATATACTGTACAATATATTTTTACTGTATACTTTGTAGATACCTGTATTTTGAATGACGAGCTTACCTCAAACAATCTAGAATCCTCAAAGCTATTTCCTCCTGCCATAAGATGTCTGCCATGTTGTCCGTTTTGTTGTTGTGACTGATAATTTTTGCCTGGTGTCAATGGAATTCTACTCGTATTTCCAAGAGTGGGCGAATCGCTCCAGTTCGAAAATGTACTATCATTCGAATCCTTCATGTGCATCTGAGTCGTTGCATTGCTAGTCGAACCCCACCAGGCAATTGGTGGTTGAGGTGGTCGATTGTCCTTCCACAAGTTAAAGTGCTCAGTCGGCTCGTAATTGGAGAACATGTAATTGTTCGCCACAGATTGCTGTTGCTGTGGCTGATTCTTAGTTACGTTGACCTGATTCGGGAATGGGAAATCTAGTGCGTCTGAATTCTTCTTGTAAAAAGAGGGTGATGGTTGATTTTGCGACAACGGTTGTCCAAAGGATTGATTCTGATTGAAGTGATTGAAGTTCAGCTGAAAACTTGACGTGTTAGTCGGACTTTGTGAATTCGCCAACGTCGTTAAAGTTTGCTGCTGAGAATCCTTTTCATATACAGACAATCCCGACATTATTGCCGACATGTTTGCCATATTCGAACCATTCATATTTAACTGACTGTGCATGTCGCTTGGTCTGGGATTACTCGGGATCATGGTCTGTTGTTTTTGTAGTCCCATCGAGTGATTTTGTTGCTCCATGCTCATACTTGATTGCAGTCCCATATTGTTGGTCTGCAAATTCATGCTTTGCGGTATCATATTTTGTTGAGCAGATGATCCCAGCTGTATGTTTTGCTGCAACAACTGGGCTGGACTGTGAGATACAGTTTGCGACACCCTCTGATGCAATGGCCTACTCTGACTGATTGTATGATGTATTCCATTGATGCTCTGCGGTATCATTGGAACTGACTGGCTATTATTATCGAGTTGCCCTTGCATTTGATAACGCAGTGCATTTGCCAGCGGCGATCGATTCGCCATGAAGTTCTTGGCGAATTGCGGATTCTGCACGTTGAACGATTGATTCGTGTAACAAACCGGTCCTAATGTCGATGATGGTTGACCGCATTGCGACGTCATATTAGTGTGCATTTGTGGAAGATTTTGTTGAGCAACTTGCTGAGTTTGTTGCTCTTTGGCTGTTAATTGATTTACTTGAGTGGGCATCGGAATGCTAGGTGGCAATTTTGGGGATCTTTGTTGATTTTGAATTAATAAAGACTGGTTCGGACTGGTAGACTGAACGAGTGGCATCGCAGACAACCGATTCTGAACGTTAATAAGGATGTTATGTGTATTGACAGGTTCATTAATTTTGGGTATCTCTGAAATTAGTGTCGGTTTATTTGCAGCAGATGTAATCGGTGGAACGGTCACTACTTTTGCTTTTTTATTACTTTCTTCTTCAACAATCACAGGTGATATATTTTTGAATGTCACCTGCTTCTGCTCATTCTCTGCACGACGCATAATTGCCTGCATTGCTATATTTTGTCGTGGTTTCCTCGTACATGGAAGAGAATTTGTTTCACTGTTGCTCGTTTCTACGACATTCACGGAGGAATCTCGGTTTCGTTCTAAGGAGCCTTGCGGTTTAAGAATACCTTGGAAAATTTTCTTATCTGCAAGAATCTCGAGATCGGTTTCTATAGAACTCTTACTACTAGCTGCTTCGGACAGTACCGGACTCATCGATGTATCGAGCTGCTTGTCCTTGTTTAAGCTGAGTTCTTCGAGTTCCTTCATCAATTCATTGCTGGGCCCAGTGCCATTGCTCATAGACGTGAATTTGTTATCGCCGGTTGTCTCCTCCGTCATAATTGAGATTGGTGTCGATCCATTAATTTGATACTGAGCAAAACAATGACCCAGATGCAGAATACGTACTGCCCGTAACTTGTTTAATGTTGCGACATCACCTTCCAGCGCTGTATTTGTAAATCTTAGATTCTCGAAACTCTTCTCTAACGGTAGAAAACCCTGAAGGTCACGATCTTCTGGCAGTGGTACTGCAACATCTGTTCCATATAACATTATAAGTATCATCAAATATTATTGTGATATTCTAATATATAATATTCAATACTAAAGACTGTTAATGTAAGAACATAACTAATACGAATACAAAGCCATTCTAGCTTAGATCTTTAATTGCTTATATATAAACTACCGCGGTACTATCACGAATTAACAAAAATTAATAATTAACTAATGTACGTAGTCCCCCCAAACTGTGTACCGAACAATCGTCGGTCTTGAAACGCAACTCTAATAATCTGAAAATACTAAATCTGGAAATAATTCTTCTTATTGCAAAAAATATTACCTTCTTATTGCAAAAAATATTAAAATATTAATAATATTCAATTGTATATATAACCATTAATGTAAGAACATAACTAATACGAATACAAAGCATACCTATAACATCTAACTTGGATTTTCTAATTCTAATATATTTTCCAGATATCTATAAACATATGTCACATACTTTAGAGTGTAAATTATATGTCTGTGAATACATATTATTACATATAATAATTTGTTTCGAAATGCTTGTTTATAATATATATATTTCACAATATACATTTTCTTAAATTTATTAAATTAAATTAATATCCGCTCAAATAAATTTCCAAATTAAACTTAATATACCTTCCAGGTCAAGAACAACTAGTATAGCTCAATTTGTTCTTGACCTGGGAGGTATATTAAGTTTAATTCTTAAATTTATTTATTAGATATGTATATGATGATGACTTTTATCTCCTCATGTGGAGCGTAGGATATCTGTAGATCTCTTCCCCTTTTGTCCGAGGCCCATATTCGTTTTTCGAATCAGATTGTTTTGTGGGTGATTGATCCACAGAATCCTACCTTCAGTCAGATATTAGAGACAAATATATACTGATGTATATTGATGTATAGGACCTACAATTTAACGCCGAATCCGAACGGCGCTGATGATCATAGATCTTTTGATCACAAGATGGAGCCATTTTTTGGCTCATTAAACGCGAAAATCGCGTTTGGGCGCACGTGGGATTGAACTCGGGTCTACAAATCGCGAGTCAATCGCATCGAGCGGTGAGCCACTCGACGCCACAGATATGTATATAAATTGCCTATATAAATAAAATTACCTAATAAATAAAATTCAGTTACTTACATTCATCATATTTAAAATCCACTACACAATTCTGCAATGCGTTCAAAAGCACGCAAAGACTGGGCCATATCTGTAATCTTGATGTAAAAGCAACTTCCTCCAAAACCGTTGGTTTTATGTTGATCCAATCAAGGCACAGTTTTACTATAAAAAAAAATATACATTACATTATATAATTTGTTTTACAGTTTTACTAAACTCATTAAAAATAAAAATGCAAATTGCAATATACTTACTAGAAGGCAAGGCAAAATACTCGATGATAGAGTTCTTCATCGTGTAAACGGGTAGCAGCAAGGCAGACAAAGTACCTGCAATTAGGTCCAGTATACAGTCGCGAGCGAGTTTTTTATCGTTCACCATTTGCTCATTCTTGAGTAATTCCACATTATCGGTGCCAATTCCAGCTGTATGTTGCAAAGCATACAGATTAATCACTAACATCTGTACGAGCATCCATGAACTAAAGCTCTCAGTAGCTACCAATGCGGTTAGCGTTTCCGTCAATTGCTTGCTATATGAGCATGCTAGTTTCAAATTGCCAAGAATGTGGACGATTCCATGTAGCTTGAGAAAAACAGTGATATATTCCTGAGAATTCAATTTGGTCTTGCTGTTGATATTGAAAGATTTATCGTTCAGAGCAGAGGACAGAGTTGTGGCAAGATTTGCTGCAGCGACAGGGAAAGGATGTTTCACAGCTACTGAACGTGCGTAGTGAAACACCGTGCCCAATTTATTACCACGGGAAGCTTCTAGAAGCGCCAATTGATTATATGGCTGTCCACTCGATGGTGACAATGAGACAGCATGTCTGTAAAACATTTCAGCTTGTTTGCTTTCATTTCTGTACCGTGCGATATCACCCAGATGTACAAGACAATATTGGCAAGCATAAAAGCAAGAAGATTTGTGAGGTGGAGATAATTTCTCAACGGCCTTCCATGGAGATGTACATCCATAAACATAACCTTTCCTGTAAAAAATGATAGTGTTCTCTCGATGATATATGCATAATTGCGATACTACAAATCTAAATTTATTAAAAATATAACAATGATATTTTAGAGGGCTATTTAGGAGTCTCAGTGCAGTAAGAAGAGCGCAAACATTAAATTCTAAAATATACTTTACTATAGTCTAGAAGTTACAAATTTATTACAAATAAATTCTTGCAAAATACTTGTTTAAAAATGTCACTAACTGCCATCTTTTATATAGGGTATTTGAACTATTAAGAATTTTAAATAACATATCTAATTTTCAATAAAAACATAATCTGCAAATCTCAAAATAATGGCATAAATAAATTATTAAATATAAATATAAATAAATTAATTAAAAGCCTAACCTACAATATGGCTTTGCTTTCCGTTTCTTTGTTTTTATCTTTTGCTTTTTTCTCTTTTGGCAACTATTTTTTTAAAATTTTATTTGTGTTTCTTGTTTCTTCCAAAATTTATCACCTTTTTATTTCAGGCAACAGAAAACAAAGAAACAGGATAAGAGGCAAAAAAATAAGAAATAAAAAGTAGTAAGTAAGAAATAAGAAGCAAAGTATACATTATGTGCCTTCCAACAAGCAATACAGTGCGACACAGTGATTATCTCATCCTTGTTTAACATTGGCAAACAATAAGGACGTATTGATACACTGTCACACCGTGTCATGTGTGTCACTTGTTCGAAGGTACCCATTGTAGATAATACAGAATCTAAGAATAATTTTTAATTAGTAGATCCATAATTCAATCTTAATGTTTAACCCATAAAACAAGATGCTAAGTAAAAGATATAATAAAAATAATAATCTATTATAGAACTCTCTAATGCATAAAAGTTTTAAAAAAATCAGGTCTGGTAAAGAATCAAAGTAAAGAAACAAAATAAGGAAAAATTATGCAAAAGATGTGTACCTTCTAAACGGCAGATCTAAATCAAATACAGTACAGATTTCCTGGAGCAAGGTTAAGTAGAAACCACTGGCTGCTTCTAGGCACCAACTAAGCAGTGCTTGGGACTCGCCTCGCTTGGGATTCTTCCTGTCCTTGGCCTGTGACTGCAGAGTCACTATATAATTCTTAAATCCAAGACTCCACAGCTCCTGCTCAACCTTCTTGTCCAGAGCATATTCCAGATCAAGTATAAGGACCTGCTGATATATCTTTTGTAACTGCTGCTGGCATACCCAGGCATCGTTGTCATTAAGCAGATCCTTACAACGTTGAACTTTATCCTTTAAAGGTTCCGCTTTCCTGTCAAATGTATTCCGTACGTTAATGGGGAACGCAGATCCGAAAGATAAATTTACGTATTTGTAATCGATGATGCATTTACGACTAATAACATTTGTGATTTACGCGAATCTTACTTCAGAGCCTGAACGGCTGCCTTTAGGCCCATATTCCGTCTTCCCTGCGGTCAAATGTCACGTTCTTCACCTACACAATTTATCACACTGTTAGTATCATCCTGATCAAGAGAAAAGAGGAAATCTTAGTTTCGCGAGGCATTTAATTTTGCAAGAAATCAAGATCAATCCCTATCTTAACCTCTCATGAGAGACAGTTTCGACCTTCAGTCGCGGCTGTTATCGGTAAATTAAATTTTGGACGAAGTAGAAAAATATTCGTGAGCAAACGTACGTTTCATCATCATCAATCTGGAAGGGAAAAAAACCGACTGTGCACAATACGGTTGCAGGAAATCGCGACGCAATTGCTCGCGCTCGGCAGAAAGTTGACTAAGTGGCTGCCATTTTTTTTTTCCCCAGCGCACCAAAAGCACAAGCGTAGCTCGTTACGAAGTGCGCTACGTAACTCTAACCTAACCCTAACGATTTAAGTCGACTTTGTCGAACGTTTTCCGTTCTGAGAGTGAAAAAAATCATTTGAAAAAAATCGTAATGAGACCGTGATGATTTATGCAACAACTCCCGTTGTTTGCCACAACGGAAATGAAATTACAACCGGAAAAGTGTAGGTTAGGACAATCAAGGGATGATCAGACGGAATGTGTATGTGCATGATTTTTTTATTTACATTTACGTAAGCGCAAGTGTAACTAACGGAGACGAAGTAAAATTGAAGAGTCGAAGAAAATATTGACGGAATGACAGCGAATGTTTTGTTGATTCATGCAATTCTTTTTTTGTTATAGGAACATTAGACGGAAACTCGTGTCACGTTCAAGAGTTTATTTTTGTTTTTTAGACAATTTCTCAAATTGCTTTATGTCATACGGGAAAATGGACAGATTTCGAAACGTTTTTTATTAACACGTCTCTGTTTTTTGTTATCTTCTTGAATGTATGATATATATATTTACGATAAAATGCACTACACATTTGAATGCCGAGGTTAGCCGAGGTTACATGTCGGTGAAAATGTCGAACGTCATCGTGAGGCCATGCTTCAGAGGGTATTTAAAACCCCTTCAGTATCTGTGGCAACGACAAGTAAGTATGCAATTGTTCTTCTGTAATTTTGCATACAAAGTATTAAAACATAAAGTCTTATACTTTTTTCAGAGATGTTAACTTTTGATTTATTAATACATCAATGATAACATTATAAGGATTAACATTTAAAGAGGACTTTAATTTATGACAAAATTGGTTTTTTAATTCTCGCTCTGCAATTTGGGCCTTTTTTACACAAGGAAAAATTTATTCTTAAATTTTTCCTTTATTTTTCAATTTTTAAAAATAAAGATTTTAACATTTTAGTTAAAAAATTATTTGTTAGTGTAGAGATGTTGGAAAATACTCTGAATATTTTAAAATTTGTTAAAAGTCTAAAACAGTAGGAATGACTGGAGACGAAAGATCTAAATTATAGATGGAACAAGTAAAAATATTATAGGAAGATTAATTATAATTATATATAATCATAATTGTATATATTTAACCATAATTTAGTATTTTCATTAACAACTTTGTCATTGTTAGTTATTTCTGTTTTCTGTGTATTTTATTTCAGCACAGCACAGTAATTGATTCAACCAAGAATAAACAACAGAATCTAGAAGCTAGACAGAAAGAAATCATGGCACGTGGCCTTCCAAAACGGAAACATATAAAGGATGTAAAACAAATTTTGCTTATTGCTTCTGGTAAAGGTGGCGTTGGGAAATCGACAACAGCTGTGAATTTGGCAACTGCTTTAAAAATTATTGAACCAAAGAGGTCCGTTGGGTTACTGGATGCTGACGTTTTCGGTCCTTCTGTACCTCTGATGATGAACATACATGAATCGCCTGCTTTAAATCAAGAGAATTTCATGGAACCTCTTGTAAATTATGGTGTGAAATGGTGATTAAGACATCAGATGCTTCAGATAATCAGATAAATGGGGATCATACTCTATAATCTTACATTTCATGTATAGTATGTCCATGGGATTTTTAATTGATGAGAAATCACCGGTAGTTTGGAGGGGTCTCATGGTGATGAGTGCATTGGACAAGCTAGTAAATCAGGTAGCATGGGGACAACTTGATTATCTTGTGATTGACACTCCTCCTGGGACAGGAGACACACATCTCTCTCTAATCCAGACTCTCTTTATCACTGGTGCGTTGTTAGTAACAACACCACAAAAAGTTGCGCTAGAGGTGACTAGGAGAGGTGCAAATATGTTCAAGAAGTTGAACATTCCTGTCATTGGTATTGTGGAAAATATGAGCAGCGTTATTTGTCCAAAATGTATGACGGAAGTGCCTCTCTTTGGTAATGCTACGCTTTCGCTAGCTAAAGAACTAGGTATATATCAATAGTTATATTTATAATTATTAATAAGCTATAAACTGAACTGTACACATATAAGTTGTAACTATACGAATATTTATATGAAAAGTATATTAGTGTTATTTTTTTGTTGGCTTGTCGTAGATGTGGGTATTTTACAGAAGATACCAATGCATGAGAGCATCGCAGAAAGTTCAGATAGCGGTAAACCGATTGTCCTAGCAACACCAAATAGCAGGCAAGCAGAAGCTTATAAAGAATTAGCAGAACATGTTGTTACATTTTTAAATAAACAGGAAATAAATAAAGAGTGATAAAATAGAATAATTAAAAAAACATTTTTTGTATCCTCTGTATATTAATAATGGAATATTACTATCACAGTAATATCTAAATTATTATATATTGACTTGTAATGGCATATTTTTCAATATATACATACATATCTTTAAAAAAGTAATTAATATAATGAATATTTTATGCAATATATAATAGATTACAATCTTTTCATAATAATTATATCTAAATAAATTTATATGCGGTTATTAATTTTTCTTTTAAATTTGTTTTTTGTAGCTAAACTTTTTATATTCTAAACTATTCTAAAGCCTTTATGTTAGTGATGCTAGAAATTGGTTCATCTCGGATAAAGAAAAAATTGATCAACAATATTAGTTTAAGTAATCGAATTATTAAAAAAAATGGTTTGTCAATTTTTTTCTGTTAAACAAGGTTTAAATACAATAGGTGTAAGATATTAAAATTGATCAATCACAGTCAAATGTGAGACGATTAGTCAATGGTCGCGTTCAGCAGACTCAACAGTTTTACAACTGTTTTATGATTCTTTGCTGAGATAGGACTATTCCTTTAGATCTAAAATTATAATCCAATCAGCGAGACGAATCATAAAACGGTTGCAAAACTGTTGAGTCTGCTGAACGCAACCATTGGCTGCGTTCAGCAGACTCTACCGTTGCGGAGCAGATCCGTGAGCGCTCACTGTTATTGGTATATTCGTTTAGATCAACCAATAGTAGCGAGCGCTCACAGATCTGCTCCGCAACAGTTGAGTCTGCTGAACGCAACCAATGATTGGCTGATTTTTACGGTTTATACCTACTGTACACTGAACGCCATACGCGATAAGCGATGAGCGACGAGGATTATTCAATGAAAGATTTACTTTTTCTCACGTGACGATGCAAAGCAGAACTCTCATTGAATATCGCGTTCAGTGCACAGTGGTGCACACTAGATATAAACCGTAAAAAATCAACCGATTATTGACTATTTCTTCTATGGTAAGCAGTAAGCATTATTCCGATTTTTTACACTTATTGTATTTTGAGATTTATTTTGTTCTTCTTTTTTATCCATTTTAAGTGCAGTTACAACAAACAAATTTAGGTCTGTTTTTTATTGCTGCACTCTCCGAACAGGTGCATACGGTGCAATAAATTGAAGTAAAATAAATATACGTTTGTTTCACTTCAATTTATTGCACCATGTGCAACAGTTTAGAAAGTGTAGCAATAAAAAACAGACCTTTTATTGACTGTGTTTAAAACAGAATAAAAATAAATCTTTTTTAAAGTCTTACAACAGCTGTAAAACTTTTGATTCGCTATCCAACATCAATTTTGCGTAATGTATTTTTACTTTAAAGTCAAAATTGTTGAAATAAACTTAAATTAAAAAAATTAACATTTGAACATCAGCGAAGAGGGAGTCAATTGTATATTGTAAAACGAGATGAAAATTACAAAAGTGAGCAAATTTATTGAAATATTTATAATTTTATTGATCTAATGAGCTCACTTTTGTAATTTTCATCTTGTTTCAAGACACAGTCGATTCTCAGCTGCCTTTAATCGCAGGAATTATAAATCGATCATGCCGTCATCGATTCATGTCGCTGCATTGCGAACAGAGCATGGGGCATGCGCTGTTGCGCTCTCTGTATTCTGTAATCGGACTTGATCGGACTTGAGCGTCCCGTTGGTGTCGGCACTCTGGTGTTTTCTCGATTTTGGCGGGCCGAGTCGTGAACGGATCGCTCTGTTTTCTCTGCTCCTCTGTTATCTCTCGATTTACGAACTTACGAAGGATAAATGATGGCAGACAAGGACGGAGGTAAAGTCACATATATTTTCGATATTGTCTTTGACTGTGTTCGCTTTCTTTTCTTACGAAAATAAACATTTCGGTCGGCAATCTCGGAAGGACGCTGCGATAAACCGTTGTTGTCTTCCTATCGAAAGTATTACACGGTCTTTCCTTTTCTCTTCTTCGTCGCGTGGCTGGAAGCATAAAAAAAAGTATTCGAACGCCGAATGAGCTTGTTCGTATTCGTGATGTCGGGAGTCGCAAAAATCCCGCGTCCCTGGAACCGGTCGGTAGTCTGTCGAACACGATGAGCGATACGTGCGATTATAGTTATTATACATATATATGTATTATACGTACATATACACACTCCATACATATATATTGCTCACACGCGCGCGCGCGTGTATGATGTATATGTATAATAATAATTAATAGCATATTAAACAATAAACAAAAAATATTTTTTGCTCACCAGATCGGTCGTTTGAATGCATATGCTTATTGAGAGATTAACCAGCGTTTCGAGAACATTCCATTTCGATAAGTTACATTTAAAGCCTATTCTACAAGTGCATTTTGTTTTCTGTTTCTTGCTTTTTGTTATTTTTACATTTTGTCTTCTTGCCTCTTATCCCGTTATTCATTTTCTGTCGTCCAAAACAAAAATTAACGAATTTCGGAAGATACAAGAAATATGTGGCAAGAGATATAATTGTCAATAAAATGGATGTAGAAAGGGAGGAAAAGCAAGACATAAAAAGCGAAAAACAGGAAACAAGTCATTGTAGAATAGACTTACCCCCGTATTCATAGTCAGACCTTATACTTAAGGCTTCCTTAAATTTATCTTTAGATACTCAGTAGCCAATAAAATAATTCGTAGATCATCTAAAGATAAATTTAAGGAAGCCTTAAGTATAAGGTCTGATTATGAATACGGGGGTTAGGCTAATTCTACAATGTGCTTTTTGTTTCCTGTTTCTTGCTGTTTGTCTCTTGCCTTCTTGATCAAAAAGCCAAGAGACAAACAGAAACAAACAACAAAAAACAGGAAACAGAAAGCACATTGTAGAATTAGTCTTAAAGATCGGTCTCATCGATAATGATTATTTTTATGATTTTGCTGCAAATTACTTTTAATTGATATACTATAACTTTAATATTTGTATAAATAAATATATTATTTTAATTTTGAAATAAATATGATTAGTAATAATGTAAGATTTAACACATTGGAAAATATATAACAGTAATAAATTAGCGAGAGAATATGATTCTCTTGGTAAAAGAATTAATTTTTTCTTTAATTGGTTGCACAGTCCTCATAAAAATTGGTTTCAAACACGAGAGCAATGTCTGTATTGAATATATATGTTAAAATATTTGCTCGTGTGTGATTAGACATTGTTTATGTGAGTAGTCTTAAAGTTTACTTATATGATATATTACTTATTTGTCATTGTAAGAAACCGTTATTGTCGCCTTTGCTAGTTAGTTCTTTCTGAGCTTTTAAAATGAAGAGACGAAGCAGTCGCTTAACTTTAAAGTTGCGTAAATTTACAAATAATCAAAATCATTTGGAATGGCAGTCCGTAAAAAATATATCTGATCTTACACCAACAACTTCTGTAACGGATGAATTTAATCTTATACTTAAATCACCTACCACAATGGATAAATCACCTAATCAGCTTAAATCACCTACCACAATGGCTAAATCGCAATCAATTGGAAGTATATTGAATATGTGTAAAGAAGCTGAATCGATGAAAAGCTTCAGAGAAAGCGATAAACTGTGTAAGAACGATAGTTCAATTAAGATTAAAGGTATTAATTCTGTACAACTAAATATACCAAGTATTATCAAAAGAATTGAAACCATAGAATTTAGATCACAAGGTGATTATTATAAAACATCCTATATAATGACAATAATATATAAATATATAAGATAGCAGATTCTCTCTTATAATCATGTTCAAAATTATGTCCTTTAAAAACTGTGCAACTAATCGAAAAGATCAATTATGTACCTTTTATCTTCAAAAATGAGAAATTTCTTATTTTTACTATAACATTACATTTCTAATTCCTCTAATAGTTTTTTTTTATCGATTGTGCCTCGCTAATTGTTTACTTACATTAAATAATTTATCATGTTGAGTAATTATATTTGTATGATCTCATATTTTATTAAAGTATTTTCTAAGATGTAGAAATTTTATGTAAAAGGAGATTTAAGCGCCGCTGTTTGTTCAGAGGGCTTTGACGACGCCGTGGAGGAACGTATTATCAATGAGGAATATAAAATATGGAAGAAGAATACACCGTTTTTATACGATCTTGTGATGACACATGCTTTGGAATGGCCTTCTTTAACAGCTCAATGGCTACCCGATGTTACCAGACCTGAGGGAAAGGATTATTCAATACACAGGTTAATTTTAGGCACTCACACTTCAGACGAACAGAATCATTTGCTCATCGCCAGCGTCCAGCTGCCGAATGAAGATGCCCAATTTGATGCGTCTCATTATGATAATGAGAAGGGTGAATTTGGTGGGTTTGGTTCTGTGAGTGGCAAAATCGAGATCGAGATTAAGATTAATCATGAGGGTGAAGTTAACAGAGCACGATTCATGCCACAAAATCCATGTGTAATCGCAACAAAGACTCCCTCGAGCGACGTGCTCGTATTTGATTACACCAAACATCCTAGTAAACCGGATCCCAATGGAGAATGTCATCCGGATTTGAGGTACTTATATAATTTGTTAAACAAATAAATCATAAATACGCAGCATACTGTATTTAAGTTAATATTATGCTTATTGTATATATTTAAATATTACAATTTTATTACAGATTGCGAGGACATCAAAAGGAAGGCTACGGACTTTCGTGGAACCCAAATCTCAACGGATATTTACTTAGCGCATCTGATGATCACACAATTTGCTTGTGGGACATCAATGCTACACCTAAGGAAAATCGTGTTATCGATGCGAAAACTATCTTTACAGGGCATACAGCCGTGGTTGAAGACGTTGCTTGGCATCTGCTCCATGAATCATTATTTGGTTCGGTTGCTGATGATCAAAAGCTCATGATCTGGGACACTAGGTAATTTATCATTTTTAATTAATAATACAATTGATTAAATATTTCTTCTAGGTTCTAGATTCTATTTATTTTAAAAACCACTTAAGAATATATTGTAGATAATGCTTAAGTTAAAAATATTCATAAATTTAATATATAATAAAAAATTCTAAGAAAATTGATATTCTCTATTAATCTATAAAATCATTATCTTAGTACAATTGATATTGATGTAAATAAACATATAACTATTTAACGTAGTGTATTAGGAAACATATTGCGCAATATACATTATATCGTTAAATTTGTTATATTTATAGATGCAACAATACTAGTAAACCAAGTCATACTGTTGATGCTCATACTGCGGAGGTAAACTGCTTGAGTTTCAATCCGTATTCTGAATTTATATTGGCTACTGGCAGTGCTGATAAGACAGTGGCACTTTGGGATCTACGAAATCTTAAATTGAAGTTACATTCATTTGAATCACACAAGGATGAGATCTTCCAGGTTCAATGGTCACCACATAATGAAACTATACTAGCAAGCAGTGGCACAGATAGACGATTACATGTTTGGGATCTTAGCAAGATCGGCGAGGAGCAGTCCAGCGAAGATGCTGAAGATGGACCGCCCGAACTTCTGGTACTTACGCAAACTTATTTTACGAAATTAATAAATAGTCAAAACGATTTTATCAAAAAATTTTGTAGGTATATTATTTTCTGTTAATTTACAATATTCTGTTTCGATTTCTTTATAAATTTTTAAATTTTAAGATTCTACATATTATTTGAAATTAATTTCTCTAATAATTTTTAAAAAATATGTTTACAGTTTATACATGGAGGTCATACTGCAAAAATAAGTGACTTTTCATGGAATCCGAACGAACCATGGGTCATATGCTCTGTATCGGAGGATAACATAATGCAAGTATGGCAAATGGCGGAGAATATCTACAACGACGAGGAACCCGAGACACCCGGAAGTGAGATTGAAACTGGTGGTTCATAACGCGAAATCTAATTTATCAAATTGTTTTGAGCTATTGTCACTCCCCAACTAGAGATCCTCAAGTAAGAGATCAGACACTACATATATGTTTGATCCGCTCTTTTTTAAAAATCTGCTTAAGATACATTGAGATAGATTATACATAAAATAGAATCAGATATCCTTGCATCTTTTATCTGCAGCTATCTCATTCTGTCTTAAGCAGGTCCTGAAAAATATGGTGGACCAATCAGAAATTATCTAAACGGTGTCCAATCTCTTACTTGAGGATCTTTATCCCCAACTGAGCATAAGCGCACCCTAGTTGCGCCATGTTGTTGAACATCTCGATGTAACGAGCATAAAGACATTCCTTTTCACCGAGAAACAATAATTCTTGCTTTTTATCATTCGATCGTATAAATTATACAAAAGATGTAAATAACAAACAAGAGAGATTCCATTTTTCGGCGAATATATGGAAATAACGTATGCCATTTTATTGGATTTGACTAAACGTATTTTTCCAAAAAAATTTTTGAAAGAAAAATTACGAATAACTTAAAATATTTTTGAAAGAATAAGAATAGCAAGTGTTATTGTTTTACGGTGACAAATTGGCTATGTTAACACGAAATAAAATAAGCTAGCTAGCTAAATAGTTAGCAATAATAACATAACTACTAATTACACCCTTTATGAGTCATCCTCGTACGAAGGCACTATTTCTCTGTCACAGTGGAAAAGAGAACTCAAATGACACTAGGGGATGCCAAGTACTTTTTCTACTTCGTTTTAAGCGTGAATAAAGAAATGATGTAAACTCGAGTGGTGTCTAGCTTAATTTACGCTTTTCCCAGTTTCATTTATTATCATTTTTGTGATTTTCCCTAATTTTCATAATTTAAAATGAATATGTTTAATTACAAATTTAAAATAAAAGTCTCAGATTCTATAAAGAATCAGGTAGATCGTTACCGCGTTTCTAGAATTAGATAGAAAAAATAGACAGAAAAAAATTATTTTAAACGACTTACAATTTTTTTTATCTGTACTAGATATTCGTGAAGAAAGCACACAAATAATTTTTATATCGTCATTGTACAAATCCTATGACATGGTCTTTACATTGTAATATATGGTAGAATTAGCGATGGATTAATCGTTTTCTTGGCACTTTGCAAATATAATAGGAACGTGCATTTTTTTTTTCAAGATAAAATATACGTATATATGGTATATGTATATATTAGATTTTGTTCCCACATTATAAAGCTGTTTGTGAAAGCTCGTTGTATATCTGCGTGAGTAAGGATCCATCGAAGCTGTTCAGCGATACACTGTCCTCGTTGTCGATACTTGTAATTCTAAAAAAAAAAAAAAGTAAAGTGCTCGCGCGTATATTCTCCCTTCAATTAAATTCATATTTATTAATCAGCGCAATTAATTGATCATTTATTACCAAAATCTGCGCGTTAAATGGACATCGCTTATAGAGCGTGTCTTATGCCAGCTGCGCATGCGAAAGAAATTTGGAATACCAGTAATTATTTATATATCAAAGTTGAATAAACAGTAATTTTTATACATTTAATAAATTATACAATAATTATATTAGAAAGTTGTATAAAACTCACCCTTTTCCAGCGTCTTGCCGTTTAATACCGTCGAGCAGACTCATTATGGAAGGTGTCAAGGTCGGACGAAATACCTGAAATAGTCACATTAATTTCGTTAAGATCGAGTTAATTTTAATTTATCTAGATGAAATCTTCGGGTACTCCCACAGTTACGGCTGCGCATCGCATTTCGCGGAGATCGATATTCCTAAAGAGGTCATGGATCAGCAATTCCTCTATATTAGTGAAACGATTTTCCGATTCCGTGAATATTAATTCGAGAAATCTCACGACCTGAAATTGAAATAGCGTTTCGATTTTTATGAATTTTATGACATCGGGTTGTTGCGATTGATTTTTACCTGCGGATACATTTCGATGTCTGATAGCTGGACGGCAGATGGTTTGAAGGTACATAATTCGTAGCCGGCGCACATTTCGAATAGCATATGTCCTGATAATGTAAAAATGAGTTTTTAATATTATAAAGTTATCTGTTTCTGTAAAATTAAATTTAAAAATAAAATACATTTAAGGGCTATAGACAGGATAAAATTTTGAAAAGATCGATTTTTTAATTTTGTAATATTTTAAAAGATATATGTATCGAGAATACATAAGCCAAGTTTCAAAGAGATATTCGGAAATACAGTAGTTTTCGTGGAGTGCTTGTACGACGAAGCGCGGTGGAGCATGAAATAAGCTAACACGCACGAAAGTCAAGCGCTAGAACTGTATGTGGCGTCGACGAAGAAGCATTTTTAGATGTGGAAGAGCTATTATATAGTTCAGGGATTCTCGAATAAGAGTAAGTAACTTAAATTTTTAATTTAATGTGCAGTCAACATATAGTAATCTGAAAGTAAAACTTCGAATGTGTTTTTTTCAAAGTCATTTGTTTCAATCTGGTTGACAACAAATCAAAAAATCTACTCGACCTATCGACTTGGTGTTGACACAATATATGTATTAGTGTAAATTGCATTTTATTCAGAAAACTTACCTCTATCGCCAGACGTAGCCGGTTTTTAATTAATAAAAATTTCACAGTTTCATTCAACTTTTTTGTAATAAAAAGGCCAAATTAAGAAAAGGATTTACATATTCGTCATTTTGTTACTTTATTTATTACAATAATCTCATAAATTCAAAACAAATAAGATTATTGTAATAAAGATTGTCATCCGTTATTTCTTTCTGCTTGCTTATAATACTGAAATTTATAATATCTTATTTTTGTTATTTTTAAATTTAACATATATTGAGCGTTTTGTCTTCCAAATCTTGCAATACCATATCAGCTATTATGGGGGATAATGGACCCATTTGTATTCTAAGCGTTTGTTTATATATGGCGTTATTAAAGGTAAAACTTATAGATATATCTTATCAGTATGACTTATATGAAGAAATTTATCAACTTGACTTATTTTTTTCTCGCTTCCGAACGAAGAAATAGTATTTATTATATCTTTGGACTTGAAAAATGTTACACCGCTTAATAATTTAATCTAATATATAATATGTCCAGCTTGTCATGTGATCTTATTTTGAATAATTTCGTATTATCTTTTTTCAATTTAATTTTTTTGTGGCTGATAAAGACTAAGTTAAGTTATAAAAACGTTCCATTAATTTATATTTTGACTTTAATAAATTATTTTGAATTGTGATCTTTAATCACGTGCTCTTTTTTTACTTATCCTTTTTTTTATTATTGCTTAACAAATTAGAGCTAGATATTTGAAATTTAAAATACATTTTCTTGAAGAAATGCAATATTAAACTTAGTTTTTAAAAAATCATTAAACAATTTGATATTTTATTAAAATATTGTTGAAAGAGAGCTATGTAAAAATTTGAATAAAGTATTCTCCGTTACAAAATTTACATTCTTCTACAAAATAAAAATATCTAATTTAAAATCGTATTAAAGTCTTATATATTCTGCTAGAAAATATAAAAAGCAATCATGAAAATTGTACTAAAAAGTATCTTATCGAAGCTGATATTAATAACGAAAGCTTAATTTAAAATCTCTTTGAAAATGTTTGCATTGAAAAATATTGCTCTTTACCGAAACATATAATATCAATCGAGGTGGAATGTGTTAATCGGGACGTCACGATGGGATGTATGCGACTGGTGAAGCCTAGAAGAGTATTCTCCAAACCGGCCAGTCTCGCAACACCGTTTTGAATCACCACATTGCCCGAGTGGAGATGAGTCACTGTGGGAAATCCTTGTTCCTTCAGAAACACTAACGCTTCCAATATCTGCAGTCCCATTCGTTGCACTTGTGGTAATTTTAGTCCCTTGCCTCGTGCGGCATACTTGTGAATCCAATCCTCATTCCAGCAATTTCGCTCGATCTGCCACAAGACATTATTTTTTGCTAGGATACCTGTCTTTAGATGTACAATATTAAGCACCGACAAAAATTCTTCACGTTTATAGTAAAAAAAATAAACGGTCTTTAATTAATTATTCTAATAAGATGATTATCAGATAGAAAATCAATTATTTTAGTAAGATATATTATTTTAATTCAATTTTAATAAAGTTCAATTTACTAAGATGTTGGGGGGAGGGGGGTTGATAATTACAAAAATGAATAGAGAGTAACATTTAATAAGACTCTCTAATAATAAGGCAAAAGCATGAATAAAAATTAATTTGAGATTGATTAAGACTAACGAAGATGAGTATGTGTATTTTTATTCATTCTCCTCTGACGTATTTTCTATGCATAAAATACTGACACCATATATTAGATCCTTGAGGCTGCCCTGGTTGATAGGCTGCACCAGGACGATATATGTTTGGTCCTCATATTCAAGAAAATCGACATGAAAGACAGGGCAGATGTAGGGATGTTGTAAGGCCAAGAATAGATTGTTCAAGGTGTCTTTGGTAGAGGGACAGGCAGTCAGCGAACAATTCCGATTAAATGGTACCAAAGTCAACAGTCGGTCCGTCTTCAGCGATGTGTCCCTCACCATAAACCAATACTTATCTACTCTTGAGCCTGAAAGATTTTAATTAGAATTTTAACGATTCTATTAATTTTCTTTATATACTATAAATTTTCGAAGATATGACCAATAAATAATCAATATGAATAAAAAATATCTCCGTGAAAAGGGGCGAATTTTTTAATTCATCGATTGATCAATCGATGAATAAAAAAACTCGCCCTGTATAAAAGTTTGTAGATTAGCGATCTAATTCCATAACTCTTTTATTTTTAAATTCTTTAACTTTTTAGCTTCATATAGATTTTTGTAATTTATTATCAATATCTCTTGATTATTTTCTCGGTACGTTTTATAATCTTATCGAGGAATACGTTATACGGTTTCAAGCAGGATGCCTTATACATTTTTTATTTAACATTTTGATGGCTTCGTAATCACGAAAGCGAAGAAGGCTCACCGATGTTGTTGAGCTGCTTAATAAGAATAAAACGCGGTGTTTTCTCGATGTAGTCACGGCAAATTGATAAAGCACGATCACGGGATCTCTTCTCCATTTCCATGTACTCGACTCCATCCTCGCTGACAGATTTCGACCCGTGATTCAATGCCGTGTAACGACCGTTCCTGTTGGAAAAATGCAAAATCCCATTTGCACATTTCTTCTTATATTTAATATCTATCCTTTTCTTCGTTTAGTCTTTTTGCCGAAGAGATAAAACGCAGGTGTTGTTACCATTATTTAATCGACCTATAGCGTCGTTTTAATTGATGATTTAAATATCCTGAATATTTAGAATTCTCAGATTTGCATTTAGAATACAGCAGTTATCAGATGGTTGTTTTAAAAGGTTT